CGCTCAAGAGGGTCACGTTGTGCCCTCGCGCCTTTAAACTGTTGCCCAACGCGACGAACGGTACCGTGTGAGATTTCGTGCCGCCCATCGTGGCCAGCAGGACGTTGAATCCCGTCGCCAGACGCCAGGATACAGCCAAGAGGATGACCACGCGACTCACAGAGTTCATCTTCGATTTTATAAATATTCAAAATGATTTTCTTCCCCTCTTCGATTGCCCCGATGATTTGGCGAATCTATCTGACGATAGATTTTATACTCGAATCACTCAGATCGATGTCGGAGTCCTTTGATACATAAATCATCATGGAAATAACACTATTTTCATTTCTTGGTAATTCCTCTTGCACAATCCTCGGTACGATCACTGATATAATTATTTATCGATTTCTTCGAGTCTTCGGTACAGAACGATGCGAACGTCTGGTCCCCGTAAGTGGAACCCTGGCTATATAAACTGGCCAGTCAAAATGCTCGCAAGACGGGAGGATCTATTATCATTGTAATGACCGGTCGACGGATCGCGTGAATTTCGTAGCAGTCTCGGGCGAGTAACAGGTGGAATCTTAAGTTGGCCACTCTTTTATCTTCTCGCGAAATAACCGGGCATAATCAAGTCAGTTGGTTCCTTTATTCCCAAGATTTCGTGAGTTCTGAAATCAAGGTAACTAATTTTTCTGGCACGAACGTTCAACAGGCACACGAGACTTTCACTAATAACGCGAGTTTCAAGTGCAAACAGACAATGGTACGATCTCTCGAGAATGTCGATTCGATCTTCTCTAATTGAACATTGCGGATTTTATCTAATGAATGTGTAGAAAATATAAAGAATCACATAATGTTTAAAATTTATTGAAACGTCGAAGGAACATCGTATATAATTTCAATTGAAACCATGAAAGTTTAATTGCGAGTTTGATAGGATTTACTCCAAGTAAGAAATGGAATTGGATATTGCGTCGGGACGGCGCGGGATATCTCTTTGAAATTGGAAAGAAGATGAAGTTTAAATGGAATACTAATTGCCCGGGATTGTAGAGACTGGAACACGTGAGATCGTACGGATTACCATGAGGAGAACGAATTACGATTTACCTTGCGAGATCAAAGTTTATCTCCCCAGTATTGAAATTGCCGATTCAATCTTTATTCTTAGAATCCGTATCATTTGCAATTCTCTATGAGACGAACACGGACTACCATGACGAACACCACTAGCAAACTCACACGTTTCAGTGTTTCCTATTCTGGCATCGTTGGAGCGACGAAAAGAGTTTCTTCAAAAATCATCTTTGAACACGGTGGTAGGCGATCCGGAACACTTTTCCTTACCTCGGCGCTCGCCCTCGACTTTCTTCCTTCAGTCTACGCTTGGCCAACGTTCGTAAACGTTCTCCCAACCGATTTAATCACCAGGAAATAATTATTATTAATGAAATAACGTTCGTACACGCTCGATTCATCAGCGATAATCGACACTTTTTAATGAATATTCACTTTGTTGGATCTTGATTGTATTCGGTTCGCGCGTGATTCGAATCAGATCGAATGTTTCGAGTTGTACTTGGAGCGAGAAAGAATCGACTCATCGATTTTCGCGGACCTTGATGCTCGACTACGAGGTACGAAGCTCGGATATCACCGAGCGTGAAAGTTTGACTGGCCAGCGGTAGCTTTAATGATCAGCTGTGCTCGAGAGAGAGAGTTTTGCCTCCCACCAGCACCAAGCACTTGCTCTTTGATGGTCCCCGTTCACAAAGATGTTCCGTAACAATAATAAGAAATGCAAACCGATACACCAAACTCAATATACAACGTTCACTCCTGTTTACGAAGCGTGAGATACTCCTAACTCCTTACAATCNAGCCGTAGATTTTAAACAGTTATTAAGAAATGACGATTTCGAAAGGAGCTTGCTTTTTACCGATCGCATTGAAATGAAGAATCAGGACGAATTTCACTGTTACAGTCCCGTTACTCGAACGATTTGATATCGAAACAGTTCGCCGCACCAAGTCGCTCGTACCGGTTTGTTTTCTCGTGATTAAAAAGACGCATACCTTGCCCGGTGTATCTTCTCCCAGAAGTTGAATACACTGAATTCCGGGAATACTTTTAAAATCGAACGGAGACATGGTAATCTTCTGAGGATCTGAAAGGGCAAGGAGAACTCCTTTCAAGATTAAATGCAAATCTGCAGAAGGTTTGATAATCGTACATACAGGAATTGATCGGATGTAAACTCGGTTAAATGAGCTGTGATCGAAAATTCATGCTCGCACGTCTCATTTAGAATTGAAAATCCGATTGAATATCGCATCGCGTTTGTGACGGTGTACTATAATTTGCACCGGTACGTAGATAGCCCAGAATCCTTTTCTGCTTGATAATCATAGCTCCTTTCACAGTCGGTTAAATCCATAAATTACGGTAGCTCTGAAATCGCCTCTCATTTGTCAAGATCGTGGGTCTTGCTCGACGAGCTCTACGAACTGTTCAGATTTCGTAAGCTTCTTCAAGATTTCTATTTACTTTTTTCGGCTCCTTTCTTCCGCTCGCTCTAATCGTTTTCCGTTAGTCTGGTTAATGTATTCCGTACAGTATTCCTTGACAGTGAACGCAAGAATCTATGTCGAAACGATTCGTTCGTCTCCTTTTGTACGAATTCTAGTTCACTAATTTTTTTTTTTTTTTAAAAAAAATGTTATAGAGCTATTTTTTATTGAACCGAGTGACAATTTACGTAGCGAATGCAGGAGTATTTTTCAAGCTATTAACTTATCTGTCTTCGGGCTGTATACTTGTTCGCTCCTTCAATGCGTCATTTGCATTCGAATCTCGTGGCAATCGTTACTCCTGAACGATGCAACCTTTGGCAGCGTGACATGAGGTGTGCAACTTATTGTGTAATTAAAAGCGTGGATATCTGGATCGTTTTAAATGAATTCTTAAAATGTAGAAGTAACAAAATTTACGATAAAAAAAGAGTAAAAATTGAACGAAGCGTGACACAGTTTTTAAGGTAGAATCGCGATTCATGTGTTTGTCTTGTACTACGTCGAGAGCGTAAATCAGTGAGGATTTCTTAGTCGATCAATGAGGAATTACGGTCACGAGCAACGGGGTGTGGCAATCAAAAAACGAGGATCCGACGGCCCATTTCGCATTTAGCTGTTGCTTTTATTTGAAACCTGTTCAAAGGCCGGCTGTCGCATCGCGTTCGCGGATAAATTTTCGCAGCCGGTCAATTATCGTTGCGCAATCGACTTTGATCAATCCCAAACATCGTTTCAGTCAGAGAAATTACACCTGGTTTCCATTTAAGTAGTAACAGACCGTTCGATCAACGACACGGCAGTCGTTATCTGTAATCTATACCGACTGTTTCGAGAAGGCGTTGACATAATAAATAGTAATTTTATTTAGGAGAATTAATATCAACGTCATTTTGCTGTACAGAGTAAATCAATATAAATGATTTCGTAGATTTTTACTATTTTCGTATTTTCAGTAGTTTTAATTTCTTGCACATTCAATTTGCCTATAAATGCAATCGATCTGGTTATAAAAAATTGACGGAAACGTGATTGAGATAACGGCTAAACGATGCTTGGATGGAAGTTGAAATCATCCGGACAGATGAAACCGCGTCGTGAATCGGCTGAAGAGACGTTTGATCGGTGACGCTGAATTTTCCTCGCGATTTCACTTTCGCTGTTGTGGCATAATCGGGCGTGTTACGAATCATAATCGCAGGACTCTCTATCTACAATGACGCCATGAAAAAAAAAACAGATAGTATATAACTATTGCTATTCCATAAACGTTTAATGGAGTGGAGTGGTTTAATTGGTTTTCAGCTGTACTGCTCGCTCGGTTATGGTAACGTGAACGTTTTATGATAGGCCTCGAATTCTTCTGTTGTTCCTGGCGTATTTTATTGCTTTGTTATCTGTTTATGACTCTCGAAACTCGTTGCGTGCAATACGAATCATTAGGATTATTATTTTTTTCTTTTCATTCCGATTACATCGCTTGATATAATTCCAATAAGGAAATTGTGACTCTCGCAGGTCACAGCACTTGTGATTCGAGCTAATTAACAGGTGGAATTTCTCAGAAGAAAATAAACGATCGATGCGAGTGCTGAGAAGTTGAAAAAAATCTCGATAATGAGGCATATAAATCTTGCAGACGAAAATACGTGAAAGCAAACAGTAATAAAAATAACAAGTCGATCTGAGAAAAAAGATCCTCTCTCAGCTGTGTCTGTAAAATAAATCGTGGTTTCTTTCGGAGAACACTTTTAGATAACGATGTTACTCGCACGATGACGTTTAATCGCCGCGCTTGTTAATAGCGGCGGTAATAGGAAATTATAAGAATATGTACTTTCACTAAAAGATGTTAATCGCTCGTAGCGATGCGCTTGCGAACAAAGATGCGGTTCTGCTTGCGTGATCTCCGTAACTTTCACAATTCTATCCGATCTCGCGAACGGATGCGATAAATCGTTCCTAGGTATCAATGAACTTAGGCATAAAAAATGGTTTCTTTTTTTATCGAACGAAGAAGGGGTAAGAAAACGTCCATCGGTTTATAAACAATAGACGGTGTTTTTTATTTGACTGTATTAGCGATTTCGTGTGTTTAAATTACAACTTATAATATAAAAATTAATTGGGCGACTTTTTAAAGGCGATTCACATGTCCTCGGTGTCGCTGTCCGAATCCTCCGCCATCGCCTGCTTCGCTTTAGCCTCGGCCTCCGCTTTTACATCCGCCGGTATGCGCTCGTGTTTGCCGTTCGTGTGCTTTCCGACCCAGCTCATCTCCAATTCGAACTGTTTGTCTTTCAATTCGTCGTGGACGAGATAAATTATCCGCGCTGCTTCCTTCACCAGTTCGTTGCACGTCATGTCGGACAACTTCAATTTCTCGATTTCCGTTTTCGCCGACTGTTTAGCTTTACCTGTGAGGGGGTATAAATTTTTTAATAACTTCTTAAATTCTTCTAAATTAAGGGACGCGGTAGCGCGTACCCTTATATTTACTTGAATCTAATCGCTGGAGTTGGATTTTTGTTACGAATTGTTATCCAGATTAATACTTACCAACAGCACAGCCGTAGTAACCATACGAAACACCGGAAGGGTCGATCATGTACATAACTGGTCCATCGTGTTCATAAGCACCAAGAATCACGGAACAGCCGTAAGGCCTGACCGCTGAGTAAAGAGTGTACGCGTGCATGTACATCGACACTCTGTCATTTAAATACTTGAGTGGTATCCCAACTCCGTATTGATTTTTGTAACTAGACGCTTCTGATCTAGCGATCTCTACGATTTGCCTGGCATCGGAGATCAGGCCGGACACGGCCATCCCAACGTGTTGGTCTATGTTGAATATTCTTTTATTCGTCCCAGGCTCATACAGCTTCGATGTAACTATCTTCTCGACAGCAAACACCACACCATCCTTGCCTCTCAATCCTATCACTGTGCTGTAAGGAAAATCGTATGATTTTAGTATTATTAATCCAAATTAGAAATAAAGATTTCTCTTAAACAGTTGTTTTTAAAATGTTTATTAACAATTAGTATCTCTTTCTGTTATGCTTTCTTTAACTAAAGTGACGAAAGTAATGTCTTACCTACGAG